ATTTTTGAGGATTTCGAGGTTTCCCATTTTTTTCCCCCACCCTCGTAATTTCTCTGTCTGTGTGTGATTATGTCCTCCGGTACCGACGTGCGCGGTCGCCGGATTAACTGAATTTTAATTCAAGAAAAGTAAGAATCACTCAGTTCTATTATCGGGTGACGTATTATTTATCACGTCGCATATGTAAGAAACATTTCTCGTTATCCAAACACACCGAATAAATCGAAGACCACTCGTGTCACCGCGCCGCGTATTTTCTGCTCGCTCTCATAAGGGCGAGAAAAATGGAATTTTCGAGGATTTCGAGGTTTCCGATTTTTTTTTCTCTACCCTCATAATTTCTCTGCCATTATTGTCGGCCTGACTTGTCGACGTGGCGATTTGGCTATTGCAAAAATCGAGGCACGGTCGTTAATTACGTCCTCCGGTACCGACGTGGGCGGTCGCCGGGCGTGATAAAGCTTCGGCGCTTTTCCACCCCTGAGCTTACGAGGACGTCGCTCGTAAATCAGTTTGCTTTATTGATGCTCGTGCATACGTATGTGCATAACCGCCTGTAGATACGCGCCATGTAGGTACCCACGTACACCAGCGACACTGTACACGTCGACACGTCGTTTACGTGCGAATGGAATTCTTCCGTCACTTTTTCGGTGCGTACTTCACGTAAGGTTTTTTTTTTTTGTACATTCCATTACCCGCGAAGAGGAATTGATCCGCGACCACGGCGGTTAATGGAGGGCGACATTACACGGGAATTCCCTCTTTCGATACAGTAATTAATACAGTGACCGACTCGTCCAACAGAATTTTTCCTCGAGTACTTGCACCGCAATGTCTCCGTGGAATGCGCAAATTTCCAGGTTTTTTCAGTATTTATGTGTCTTGCAGAGTTTTCAGCGTCGAGGATCGCAGCTTAAACGAGGTATTCCGTTCAATCAACAGGCGCGAAGCAAAGTTAGTTCGGGATTCAACTTCTTCTTCTTCTTTTATTTTTTTCCTATATATTCAATGGCCCTGTATTATCACACCCTCTGTGTGCACCTTTTATCTAAAACCTTCCGGCCTTTTACCGTAAAAGTATCACCCTACATCCATATATACGCACATGTCCCCCATTTTTTTTCTCCCCCGATGAGCGTCACTCAGCCAACGAGATAGCTGTATCCATCCTCTCTATGCATCTCTCCCTGTACTTTATAGATTTAGATTCGACGGTAAAGTCGTTTTCACGTTTATGATCCGCCCGAAAGAATGCAAATCGTGAAAAGCGAGGATATTTTATTGGACATCGATGTGTCGCCCATTCGAGGAAGGTCGAAATGACGTTTCGAAGCTCACAATTTCCCTCTCGAAACCTCCTCCCGCCATGATTTACACGATCGAACGAAATTGCCCGTTTGTTTGTCCCTTACCGGCAGATATTTAATGTATTAAAAAAATTCCTCAAACGGGATATTAAATTTGAGAATGTTGTCCACGAAGTGGGACGGCTTATAGCAGTCCTAGTCCAAAGGAGAGATATTTCCAGGACAGATTACACCCTTTGACGGAAAGGAAGGCACTGTCGATGCCATGTAGAAATCTTTGAAGTCGCGGACATGACCGCAATAGCGTGGCCAAATGTCCTACATTATGAAACGAATCTCTGCGAGCATAAATCTCAGAGACGGTTTCCTTTCCGATCTCTCAGCTTAAACAGATACCGAGATAATGTATCCAGGACGAAGAAATTAAAAAGCGCCTCGTGGTATTTTTTTTTTTATTTTTTCTAGTAATATTTCTCTAGGGATCTCGTACGGATCCCAAAACGCATACAGTTCGCGACTGAAAGATCCCTGCAAAAGGGAGAAAGAGGAAGTTCTCATACGCGCATTTACGGAGCCGATCGAAATAAACTTCCCCTCGAGTTAGATTTTCCTCTTTCGATTTTTCTCCCCCTCCCCTTAACTTCCCGAAGGACACAGTTCTCCTAACTTCGGAAACTCGGTCTCCCGATTTTTCTCGGGGGTTTTTCCGCGATGTAAAACCTCCCTCGGGGTTATTTAACTTCGGGGAATGTTATTTAGTACTAGAGGGCGTGCTCGTATAAAATGTGAGGCGAGGCGTCGGCGTCGCATCGACGCCGGAAGTTCGGCCTTCGATGAGAGGCCTTCGGGGCCGTTTTGGAAGAGCCGCGAATATCGCCCGGCCGCGGGAACTTTTTAATGAGAATCGTGAGCGGGTTTCCTAGCGGGGGAATCCACCAGGGGCTCGTTGCGCGGCTAGTATTATGGAAATTTCCCTAGGAGTCCGTCGCGGGGCACAATGAATCGCGATGACAAAGTGCGCTCTCAGCCGACGGAGGCGTCGCGGAGGCGTCGCGACGCGCGGAACGGCCAAAGGGATCCATCGAGCCGGCCAATTGCGTTACCCGGGGAACTCGATTTTCCCCGGGGGATTTTATTTCGGCTAAATTGACGCCGCTTGTATACGCCGGCCGACGCTGGCCGGCGCCGGTGGAGGGAAAGAAAAAAATTGGACGAATAGAAAAGATAGCTCGGGGGGCGCATTAATCCGCTCCTGATTATGACTTGATAAGGGGCATCGACGCTGATCGCCGTCGCGAGTTCCTCAGGTTCAGGGTGCCAGAACACGCGACGATGATCTACGGCGTCTACGGTGCACGTTGGATGATAGCCAAGCTCTGAATGCCGGGATTTGTGGGACCATCGAGCTTAATTTACGCGGAGAAAGTTACTGCAGCGTCGCGGAATAATTTCTTCGAGTGCCCGTCGAAGGTCTGGTCCGGTCATCCTCGGACCTATGCGTTGCGTACAGCAATTGGGGCGGTCGTGGTCAGGTTATTATTCCAATTATCATAGAGCAACGCCGGGTAATTAGACTACCCTCGGCAGCGACTTGGCCGCATTTCGATCCCGCCGCAATCCTCGCGCCCCAATTCCTTGGACGCCTGCGGTGGCTCCTTCCGGACCTTGGCCAAGGACGAAGGTAGAACCGAGGTCGCCCATAGTCAAGGAAACATTTCCAACGTGACCACGAAACACATGCCAACGCCTTAAAGCTATACGTGTCGAGATTTCGGGACCGTGGGACCAGCAGACCCTCGTCGTTTTTGGTCGCAATCGGTGCATCGCACGACCTTAAGGATCCTCTGCCCTTAATCTCAGGTCCTATTGGAGAACGGAGTCCTGCAGATCGTACACGCCCAGGTAAATCGGTCCCTTCGAGGGCTCGGTGCCCAGAATGGGTAATCGGATCACTGTTGATGGCAACCTGGTCCTATTTCGATCGATGTAACCTCTCATTGCACCCCAATTCCTCGAACGCCTGTGGTCCCCTCTTGCATATCTTCCTTAAGGGCGAAGGGACCTCCAAGATCGTGTCATTTCCATCCAAGGAATCACTTTCCACTCCTACAAAAATGAAATTCGAGTGAATACCCACCTAGGGGAGCTTACATGCCTCGGGACGCTCCAAGGGTCCTGCATTGTCGACGGCATCGACGCTGTCGATAGGGCCATTCCAATCGGTCCACAATTAACGGCGCGACGACGCCGTTAATGACGTTTTCAACCCGCGGAAGAGCCGTTCGTCCCGATGGAACGTGCGTCACGGATAATTAACGTTCCGGGCGTCGCGCACCCAGACGCGTCGAGGGTGGTTGACGTCAGGGGACGACGGCATCTCAGCGACGTAGCGACGCCTTCCCCGGGACGTGTCCTGTGATAAAAGCAGGACCCTCGGCCACGCAAACGCGGCTCCCCTTGACGTCGACCCAGTTTCCGGCGTCGAGACGGAAATCCTCGCGGAACCGCCCCGAATTCCTCGACGCCGCGACGGTAATCTCGAGGCGAGCCCTCCAGGGCGTCGCGCCCTCGACAACTTCGACTAATCTTCAAACTCCACTGGCTCGAACAATTCGCGTCGCCTCGGCGTCGTCTTAGCGTCGTCTTAGCGTCGCTCGAGTACGTCCAACACGCGGACGCATGCCGACGAGCTCTCTTATAAAACTCGGGCAGGGTTTTTCCATTTTTCTCTTTTACGTGCTCATTAGATGAAATACTCCTCTCATCGAGGGTAGGTTCTAATTGGAGATTGATACTCAAGGCTGCCAAGGTTAAGATCGTGGTCGAGGGCTCCAACAGATATTCTGGCCAAGCCAGGGGAAACCATTAAAAATCCATCCGTGAAAGATTGGCCATTATATATATTCCGTGTCGTGGGTAAACCTAGACTCCCGAATAATGAAAATAAATATCAGTTAAAAATTGAAATCTATGAGAAATAATTCGCTGAATCGTTAAGCGTGGGTTCGCCACGGTATAGAATTTTATTACTCACTTGGCATGGTTGTAGGGGAGGAAACGTCCAAACTTGGGAGGGTTTCATGACTATGGGGTAACGTGGGGAATGTTTCCAACTTACCCTCGCCAAGTACGGATGCATCGGGACACGTATAGAGGGCGATCGGGATCGTCTCCAAGTTCAAATGCAATTGGAAACAAAACTTCGTCCCTAAATTTTCCAGACAGTTTCCGTTTTACCGCTCCCCCGTAGTATCATGTATCCGTTTGCAATGCAAATCGTATTCCAGGGAGTTCTTCCCATTGCGCGGTGTATTACAATATTTATTTAAATCTTTGAACAATACTTCAACATGCAACTTTCCGTCTAGGGAAGGTTTTTAATATCACATTCCTAAGTTCCGGCATCGATGCTAATTAAATCATTAACACATTATCGGGAGGGAAATGTTAACTTACCCGAATTATAAGATTCTTCGGTCGGCGTAGTAGTGACATTAACACTGTACATTTTAATTATTTACATATTTATACATGTTAATATTCCGCAGATATTGTTCGGAAGGGCTTCGTGGTGTCGCGCATCTCTTCACAGAAACGATTAAAAGCCCCATGCTGATAATTCATCTTTCTGGCGTAAAGTCGTTGGGTAATCATGTAATACGTAATGTAACAAAAAGTTAGATGACTCACCAATTGCAGTGCATACGCCCAGAGCTCTTGTCAACGCTGTCAAGTGGACTTCAGGTGTCCTGGAGTAGTTGGAAATGTTGCCAGGATCTGACGTCATGCCGAAATCCTTAACGCGGGTCGCCATTATATTCAACTTGAAATGTGCACTTTTTTTTTTACTCTTTAGATTCTAAGTCGAAAAGTCCCTCTTAACTTCACTGATCACGTAATCGGCATCTGCGTTTTATTACTTAATGTTTATCCGCAAAACATTAACGTTAATTACATCATGTTAGTAAAGAAAAATGGGATTACAATCGGACGCAGTTACAACCGAAGGGAATAAAGCAAGGACATGTCACTCGATGCATGCGCACGCGGTGCTACGTCGCATGCGACTGATCTCAAGCACGATTGCAAGCTTTCGCGCTTTCCCGGAAATCCTGCGCATGCGCTCGGCGAGAAATTTGAACCGCGCGCCAGTTTTCATTGCAAGCTACTTTCTCCAGAGATGAGTTGGGAGATTGTTCACCGGTAGGGTCGCGCGATCGCATCCTGTGCTGCCCTCTGGTTTCGTACGTTAGCTTTCACCGGTTCTTGCCCCCAAGGGCGGCGCAACGAATTTCTGGTAGGGGCTCGCGATGGCGGTGCCATCTACCAGTCGCTGTTGGCGGCTCACGTACTCGTGATGGTAATACCATGCGGCAGATGACGGTTGCGGCCCAACTCATATCTGTAAACCCCAAATGTCTTTCTGCTCAAAGCGGCTCGTTGCTGTTGTATACGGATAAAATGTATTAACTTGTTAAGTCTTGAATTAAAATAAACATCATTTGTATAAATGTTTGTATTTTAGAGATGGTAATTACTGCTATTTTTAAGCACAGAATCTTCTACTGTAAATCGGTATTCGAGAAAATCCGAAAAGGGACATTATTCGTACGTACATTTATAAATGAACCAATAATCCCTGTTTCCCAGTTAAGACACACTCATAGTGTTCCACAAAAAGGTCCTTGGAGTGTTTTGTTTTTTGGGACTGATGAATTCGCTGTGCAAAGCTTGCAAAGGCTGCATCTTGAATTGTGAGTTATTAACGTAACCTCAGTTTTCGAGGAAGTTTATTTTCCGGTTTATTTAAATGGAGCTTTTGTTTCAATCTGACTGGGTTTTCTTTTTCAGTAAATTGAAGAGATTGTTATGTCGCTTAGAAGTCGTTACAGTTTCCAAAGGTAGAGATAATGCAGTCTCTCGGTACACAAGGCAAGAGGGTATCGTAATGCATCACTGGCCTCTTGATATTGACTTAGCAGACTTTCATATCGGAATAGTTGTATCATTTGGCCATTTAATCCCTGCACATGTCATACAATCATTTCCACTGTAAGTTGATTAAAGCTTTACATGGAATAAAACAATGGCCATGTTTTGAATTCCTTACCATGAAAAGTGTTTCATGTAATTAGTATCTTCCGTTGCATCAATATATTTTTCATCCATTGTGCATTAATAATTTCACAGGGGTATGATAAATATCCATGCAAGTTTGTTACCGCGATGGAGAGGTGCTGCTCCAATAATTTATGCCTTGATGAACGGAGATACGGTAACAGGAATAACAATAATGAACATAAAACCACACAAGTACATTACCCAAATTGTTGAATTTTAAACGTTTTTTTTTTCATTATATGTAAATTAATCTTTTATTATCATTCTAGATTTGACATTGGGGAGATAATATTACAAGAGAAAGTAGATATTTTGCCAGATGAGAAAATGCCAGAGTTATATAACAGACTGGCAAATCTAGGAGGAGACCTTTTAATAAAAGTAACAGAAAATTTGCCAGAAATTTTGAACAATTGCAAGTCTCAATCTAAAGCGTCTGTAAAATATGGTGAATATTGTTCCAATATCATTTGGCTATCGTAATACAATGGATTTAATTATTTGTATCATGTTCAAATCACACTAGCTCCTAAAGTATCATCAAAAATAGCACTAATTAACTGGAGTACCATGACAGCAAAAAATGTGTATGACTTGCAAAGGGCGTTGACAGGACTGTATGTACTTAAAACAAAGTTCGAAAACAAGACTGTGAAACTCATAGATATTAAAATTGTTATGGATGTGCCAGAAAAAGCGAAATTATTGCAAAACACGCCAGGTTATTATTTATATTAATCCAGTTTAGCAGTAGTAATAAAAAATGAAAGGATGAAAAAGTATATAAATTTTGTTTAGGTATTATTGTTCATAATTGTTTTGTTATAGGTCTGTTCATCTATGACAAAATGAGTCGAGCATTATTCGTTCGATGTCGCGATGACAGCTGGATCGCTGTGAAGAAATTGGTTCTTCCAGGCCGACCACCCATGACTGCTTGTGACTTTAATAATGGATTCCTTTCTAAAACTAAACACACTTTGTGTTTCCTTTAACAATAACATAATCTATGTGCAATAACTGAAGAGGACGTTCAATGAATCTTAGAACAATTTAAGTAAATGAATGTTCTATCGATTCATAAGTAATGTGAATATTTACACATTTGTATATAGAATCTTGTAGTAATAAAATATGGAAATATAATAAAGGCGAGAACAGAAAAAAATAGGTGAATTATTGTAATAGGATTCTACTATTTCTTTCCGTTTACGGTATTACCCACACGTTGGGTGCAGATCTTTAATAATGCAAAATCTGAACAATCACATTAACTTGTCAATCTATGCACCATACAGTAAGCACTAAAGGCAATTAATTTTACTTTCAATCAACGCATCTGTTTGAATTAAATTTATTATGTCACTTAATAAAAAAAGTGAATTTACAACACTAATTTTTTGTATACACGTTCTCAACAAAAGGGAAACATCCTTCAGTTACTTTTTACAAAGAAATATGCGAGACACTCAATGCCTTACTTATATTAAATGTAGTGCTGCCATTCCAGATTTAAAAATGATGAAATTAATTCTCAGTTTCGGAGGCCTGAAAAGAAAGAAATGTTTAAAATACGGATATTAGACAACACCTTGAACCAGTGCTATTAATCAAATAGCATTTACTAACTTCATAAGTAAAAAAGGGAGATAATTGAAATAAGGTTTTCCATTTGATGTAAATAAAGGACTAAAAAAAAATTAGTCGTTAACAAAATTCTAAATTTTCCAGAGAAAGACAGTTGTAGAGGTCGTTGGATTTTAATGGGTTAGTTCTAGTTCTTTACATTGCCTCCTTATTTTTAAATATGAAAGTACCAGAGTAATGCCAGTAATTGCAGTTATTAAATTATTACAGACTTACACTAGGATCGCAGTCCGCGCAGTGCCAAGAGTAACCTCTCCTTTTGGGAGTCTTTTTTACAGGGGGGTCCAGGCAAGTAAAATGGTAGCACTTCTTGCATTCATCGCATCTGCACAAGGAAATTCATGTTTTCATATAAACCGAATAGTTACATATATTTGTTCAATCTCCTTTGTAAAATGCATGCGTCTCAAATATGTATTCTACAAATGTTACACTGACCTAACAAGGTTCTGATTCGTCCCAGGAGTATCACAGACACTACACTGCGTTAACAGATCAGCTTCCTTTCCCTTTTTTCCATTTCCTGACGACAGTCTACTATTGTTGCTACTGCCTGGTGCATTAATCGGCGTGCTTGGCGTGTTAACTGGTGGAGGAGGAAGAGGTGGCGACGCGAGTTTGGGCGGAGGCGGTGTCATTTCCGTACTCGTCGAAGTTGCCACAAACATCTGTGGGCTTGATTCCGAAGCAACTTCTCCTTCCGGTCGGGGAATTGGCTTTATCTTAAGCATAACAAAAAAAAAATTGATTTCACTATTTCTTGTATAAGATTAGTAGAATTAATTAGAGGAGTGTACCTTAATAGTTATTCTCCGATGAATTTCAGGCTGGCACTGCCCTTCGGGGTTTTCAACATCGAGGCTCTTTCTTTTATGTTTCCTCTTTCTCTGTTTAACACCTGTTATCGGATCGGGAGTGTATCTCTTGTGCTTCTCCCTGATATGGAATATTTTTAGTACATGTTAATATATTCTTTTCCTGCTTGTCCTATACTTCAAATAATAAGTTACGTACCTTCTCCTTTTCTTTCCACTTCTCTGCGAAACAGATTCCGTGCCATCGACTGAAGCTACCATATACTCTGGAGAGCCTTCTCTTGGAACAATGGGCAAATTATTCATAGTTTGAGTAATTATGGTGGTTCCTCCAGTAAGCACCGACTCCTGCACTGGTGGCAGTGGTCCCAAAGGCTTTATCGTCAACTGAGGATACGAAAGAAATATAAAAGTATATCCAGATAAATTAATTATTTTGAAATTAATTAATTTATTAGTCACCTTCGGTGTAGTTGGTGTATCGGCAGTTACAATATGAGATACGTCATTGATTTCAATGGAATTCTTTGACGTCGTTGGAGTGTTGAGGGCAGTGGGAGCTTGCATTTCTTGAGGTGGGGTTGAAGTTAGATTTGAATCATCCTTACAGTGTCTCAGTCTACGCGGTGCAGACGTATCAACGTGCTCCACTTCTGAACCAGAGGATTCCTTATCACATTCGGAGCATTGCCTGCACAATAAATTTTCACGTGTCGAAATATGCCTGGTTAACAATGTGTTAACATTTAATATTAAAAATTCTCGGTACATTACAAGAAAATTAAAAAATCTTCATTTGTACCATATGAAACTGATGCCCACTTACCAGCCCATGAGTTTTGTCTTTTTAGGCATCCGCGAAAGGGGTGGACTGAGACAAGAGAGATGATAATGCAAGTGGCAGGTATCGCACTTTGCAAGAAGATGTTGATTGGTAGATCTCCGACAGATACCACACTGATGTCTCAGGGCAAGTTCCCCTTTATGATTTTGATCTTGAGCTTGGCTGCTCAAGACTCTACCTTCGCGTACTCCTTCGCCACCTTTTCCTACCGGCAATGGGAAACCTACTCCCATTTTTAAAGCTGCTGCTGTGGGTACCCCTAGCCCCGTACCTGTTCATAATTAATATTTAATTAAAAAAAGAATTTCCTAATGAACATTTAGTAACACTTACCAAGGGTTGGCGGTATCCTTGGTTTGGCAATATCCGTTACCAGCGGTAGAGGCTTCACGTAGCCTGCGGCTCTAAGTACCTGATGATACATCTCAATTTTTTCCTTCAATGTCACGTTAATTCGAATTTGTTCCTCGTTGTCTTTCATTACTTCGTCGTATTTTCTATCAAGTCTCTGTTGCTCATTAAGTAGTTGTGAATTAACATCTAGGAGTTCTTGAAGCTTCCGCTTCATCGATATCACTCGGAGGTTGCGGTCCAAGTAGTAACCGATGAATTCCACACTAAATGCAGGAGGAATATGCCACTTTTTTCGTACATCGACCAATGCGACTAGTTGTGCTTCTTGTGCTTCTAAAGCGGCAGTGTCAACTCCCATTAGTTCAGCCTTTTTTGCTAATTGTCGACAAGCGGAGGCTGAGGTTGTCAATAGGCGAGGCATCTTCTGAGTTGGGACTGCATAAAGATATATGAAAACAAACCATTCATATTACAATTCTATCACAATTATTATGATTTAAAATGCCTTAATTACTGTGTATTTATCAATACAGTATGACATTTATTTTTTGAAATTAAAGCCTTTTCTGAGTTACATACCCCAAGGAGGTGGTCTCGATGCCTTATGAGCCAAGTATTTATGTCGATGCTTTGCAAGTTTTCGTTGAATCCTGCGTTGCTCTTCTGTGTCTAAGTGGTCAGGTTGCTTCAGCAATTGTTGACGATACTGGGCACGTAGCTGTAAAGCCAGCCAATTGCGTCTACGTCGACGTACTAAAGTCTTGTCTGAATGTAACTTGCAATGTGCATAAAATGGATCGGCTTGGTCCACTTCCTCGCTATGTGCTTCTGACAAGAGACCTTCCCTCTGGGCACTGTTGAAAAAGTCATGATACAATTTAAGATTATATTTACATCTCAGAAAGGTTCCATGGTTTTATATATTTTTACATTCTCACCAAGTAACGTGAAAATATGTATGGCACATTCCAGCATCACATTCGATACATACTCCAGTACGAGCATACCGTGCATCTTCGCATAGAGAACAAGTCTTAGCTCCCCATTTACTATATGCCATTTCGAACAGCGTGACACTGGCCAGTCGATCCACCTTTAATGAAATGTAAGAATAAAGTCAATCCTTATGAAATATTAAAAATGTATTTTTCTAAATGATGAAGCTCCTATTATGAATAAACCGCAAAGTAGAGGACAAAAATGTCAAATAACCTCTCCAAACGCAACTCCTGGAACATATAGAGCACACACCAAATGAACCCATTTCCCAACGTCAGTCTCTTTAAATATTCCACCTTTATTGGGACAGAGTTCACACGATGGATCTTCGATGCCTGCACTACAGGCTTCACAGAACCATGGTGCGGATTGACACAGGGAGTCAGTGCTTGAAAAACTTTCAACATCGGACACTCCATAGCAGCCTGTAAGGAATTTAATATTGTTTTGAGAATTATAGATAAACCACCGTGTTGTCGTTTCATTATACATGTAGTAGCATGCCAGGATATTTACCTTCGTGTACAGTGACCCCACATCCATCGCATTCTACAATTTCATTGATATCATCACTTCGGTCGCCCAAACAACCGCAACAGATGAGCATTTTCATAAGCTTATCATCAAGAGACCCGCCTCTTGCAGCTTGCTGACGAGCTTGTTCGATTACATCGCCTATAGTCGCCCCGGAATTATCCTTTCCCCTGAGTAATGGATCATCCAAAGAGTCATCCGATTCGTTAGATTCATCTTCCTCGTCTGTAAAAATAAAATCTCTATTAAGAACAACCGATCTCGACTCATGGCCATAGGAATAAAGAAACACTTGTTTACCCTTTCCAACATCGTTTGAATCTACAGAATCATCGTCCGATTCTTCACAGTGGTCTTCGATCCGAAAGTCGCTATCATCCGAGCTCTCACCCAGGTCAAAATCTAATAACGATTGTTGCGCAGATTCAACAGGCTTCACTCTCCTCTTTTTAGGATCACGTTCGACTGTTATTCAAAGAAAAGACAATCTTAACATTTTATTCGTCAATCTAGACAATTAAACTACACTGCCGATAATGCCTCGGTATAACATTTGAAAATCTTACATGGTAGTCCAATAATAACGGAAGTAAAACGATGACATAAATTAATCTCTTTTCACTTAGCCTAAATAAATCCTATCGAGAGGCATTGTTGAAATTTGTATAAATCAATTATATACACAACTAAACCGAGCTATGTATACCATAGGGAGGTTATAATCAATCTTACCAGGTAACATTTTAGGTTAGAAAGTCCAAAGGGTTACTTACATGAACCACTCATTGCAGTATTTGCGAGAAATAAAATTCAGGAAATGCTCGGAGAGTGTACTTTACGAGTATTCGCGGTAGCGTCCTTCCACCATTACGAATCTGACACACGGAACTACCCCTAGATTTCCTGACTTCTCCCACCGCTCAAAATTAATGCCCGTCAAACGCTTTGCCTAGCTTTGACACTCACATATGGCACCGTTGCCGGCTTGCAAGCGTCCACACGTGAGAGCTATTGCGCTGTCAACACAGCTGAGAATTCATGTGTGGTAACATGCTGAGTTAAATCCCGCAATTGCGTTACCGTTATACATATTCATTTAATTCAACATTGATTTCCATAAAAGTTTCATATGCCGTTATGTAAAAGCAATTAAAAAAAGAATAAAGAAAGAGTAACAATAGATACACGTACGCCGAATGCGTCAGACAATGTACAGTGTGCATTGATTTTTCATTATGATCTTTTGAGAACATTGTACCATTTCGAGCATTATCTGTGTCTGTCATTATATTCCATTTATTCTCTATTTGAAAAAAAAAAAGTAAAAACCATTTAGCGAGATTATGCGCGAAGAGTGACGCATCGGGAACAGTTGGAAATAATATGAAATTCTTGTTTTGATAAATGTCTCCAAGTTACAAGTGTACTCGTAAAAACAAAGATAACTTCATTAATGGCTAGATAATTGTCGGCGTCGAAGTATCTATTCGGTTTTGCACGAATAGTCCTACGAGCTGATGAGTAATCAGGACGGATACCGTTTAGTGGGACTCGAAAAAGTGGAACTCTGTTCCAGGATTATTTATTTAATTTTTATTAGAACTGATGAAAAACGATTAGCTAATTTATTTGCACTCTTAATCTGATCTCGTTCAAAGTGAAAGTGATAAATAACACATATAACAAGTGCTGTCAATTTGTCAATATAAACAGAAGTGGAACTCCCACTTCCTAGAGACCGATTGAACTCATTCACATTGGCTAACGCGTGGGCCTATAATTTGCTACTGTACACGACATGAATATCAAATTCACGATGATACTTCATTTTAAAGTGATTACTGGTCATTTATTAACGCTGAAAATATGTAAAATTGATTTCCAAGGTATTTCAGATGAAAAGAGTCCAACTGCGAGTCAGGAAATGGAACCTGATTTAGATATATTTGATGGAATGCAGGGAAGATAGCAGCCTGATGCATCCACGGTAATGGCCACAGGATGTGAAAATATTTCGAATAGAAAGAAAAAAAAAATTGTATCGGGATAAAATAAACAGCTCGATCCGCGTGGTTAATTTTCCGCAGTGAAACTGAATGGTCCTCGCGAAGGATACTCACTCATAGTTTTATACAAAAATCCGACGTCCTCTTCTTGAGACATTCCTGCTTTGCCACGAGTCCTTTTACCACATCTGAATTAAAGAGCACCTCGGAATAATCTCGCGAGAAGTCGGTTTTATTTACTGCACATCTCCCGCGGTTGGATTCTACCTCGTTGTCCTTAATTTCCACGGGGTTCTTTCTTAACCAATGCACACTTTTCTTCTGACGCCGCCGCGTTTCTGCTCGACGCACGTATACAGCCGCCATCTTGAATCAACGCCGACCCTTCCGCGCCAAGTTCAAACTTCATTTCTTTCAAGTTCCTCAAATCTACGTTCGATACTTTCCGATGTTTTTCGTTGTTTCAACGTTTATCATTAGTTTTCATATAGCTCCCTACACCTTCCTGAACAATTCTGAGCTTTATGCACATGTTTACATTATGAGAGTGACTTTAATGCAATTCGCAGATTTGTGTTCAATAATACCCCAGTCCAGAAAAAATTCAGGAATATGTTTGGACACGTCAGCTGATTATGGATCTCATCGGACACATCAATAGCTGTTAATTTCAAAGATTCTCAAGGTAAACAAAAAAGTGGTATCTCACAATTTTCAATTTTGAAAATAGATCTTCTTTTAACCGGAGTCGGATTTTGTCTGCGTTACGGTGAGTTCGGAAAACATGTAAAGAAGCAATTCCTCGATGTTTGGAATTCGTCGTAGGTGTTCTTTATTCTTCGTAAAATCATACAGAGAAAGCATCGAAGTTTACAAGGGCGTGGAAAAGCGAGAGGAACATGTCGACCATTTCGCAGCAACGCTCCGCGGCGAAATCACTATTAACTGGAAGTTTTGCTCTCTGTCCCCGTAACGTTGGCGTTAACATGAATTTTGGTAACCAACCGATTCGCGAGCACTCGCCTTGGAAACCGGGAAATTATTTCGCTTGACAATCGGACATGGATCTGAACGCGCAAAAGCGTTAATGAATGGAGCGCTCGAAACTGACGGAAGTCTCCTCGTGAAAGCATTCGTGCAAACGTAATCTAAACTAAACCTTAAAGGTACGACTCTATGCGGCTAATCTCTAATCGAAACTAGAACTTTGATGGTTAATTATCTAAAATATATGTACCTAACGTTATCGGCTGCAACCGGAATTAAATATAGGACAGCGTCGGTGTCACAATCCGAAATAAATGCCTTTTATACAAATAGCTCTGTGGTACGTAAATTTGATATCCCTACTACAGTATGTATAATCATATATATATTCATTCATATATATATATATTCATTTATATATATATTTATGTATATTCTGCTAATAAATAATCCTTAATACTCCGCTAATAAATGTCAATGAATTCAGTGTGTATCCAACTCTTAAAATATCAAATCGCTTAGTCGTTACCTTCGTCCGGAATTTAAAAACGAATTACGTCGAATATTTATCATTAACCTTACACGATAGTGATTTACTTGATGGTTTTAGCAGTGGAGTTTACCGGGCTTATCTACACAGTTTACCTTTTCTTTTAAATTTCACTTACAATATCTCTAAGCGATGTTCAATGGATTCAAACAGAAAATGATGCACCTCGCCGCCTGTATGAACACCCTCGGCGTTATGAGAAATGTCGAACACTCGTTTGGAAATGACCGGACAATTGCGAGAAATGGAAAGAGGATTAGAAATTAAATCCCGTCGTCGGGCAAAAAATGGCCGAACGAATCCTCGCAGGATATTCAATGTTTATCATTTCCATCGAGTGTCCGCGAATGATCCTTACCAGTTAACTGCTCCGTAGTAACTTGAATTAACGTTAATAAAGTCAATATCATTTTCATTCACACCTAGCTCGGATTTCAAAGATAACGTAATCGCAGTATTCCGTTCGTCGCGGAAATCATGCTTAAGAAAAACCTCCGAAAAAGAGGAAAAAAAAAATACTCCGTGAAAATCCGACCGAGCAGCAGCGCCGACTTCGCCCCCCAAAATCGCTTAAAAAAATCAGCGCTATCGCTCGATAAGAATGATTTGCCGTAATTCAACTGAATTTTGACCAACTTTAGCAAAGACATGTTACATACAATCGAGAGCATCGTTCCTCATTGTCGTTCTACGTAATAAAATCATGGCGAGTCTTAAGGAACCCTGCCCTCGATTGTGCGGTGGTTTTATCGTTAAATAGCTTCGTAGCCTAAGAATTAATTGTTATTACACGCATTACAAATAAATCACTCGAATACTGCAGTAATAAAACCCTAGACGTTAGCGACATATCGTAGTAATCCGTATGACGTCCTTTCGTGTACCCAAGAGCGCGACTGCGATTTCTTTATTATTAATCCATTCTTCTTTCTTTTTTTTTTTGGTATATCATTTATTTGCTTGGCTTAGCGGTCGATCGAACGGTGGATGCATACTTTCTAACGCGTTTGCTAATTTCCTGGACCAGCTGCTGCTTTTCGGAGACGGTCGAATTAATTAAACGGAAAGGGTCGACATGGCGTGCCGGTCAATCGCAACGATAAGCGCCGTAGAAACGTCGATAATTCGATCGATTTTGACTTGATTAGCCTCCACCAGACGTCGAGTACCGTTTATAATCACCTAGCATTTAATTACTTTATTTATCATACTTCTGCCCGTCGCAAGCGGTACGGTTTGTATCTACAAAATGTACAAATAATGACAATTGCGCGGGGCGAGCGTACAAAACCGAGGACGATGAAAGGAGGAGAAAATTGCTCGTCCAGAACAAATCGCTGACAAATTCACGATCGATCTCGGCGCGCCGTTCCCAGTTTTTTTTTTTCGTTTCCTTCTGTTTTTCCTATAAAAGTCTCGGAAAGTAGCGGCAAAAGCGCATACGCTCGTACGCGGTGGATTTTATTCTTATTCGTTTTTTTCTTCTTTCCTTTCTTCAGACGCACTCATAGAATGTTGGGACGGTCGGGTGCTAAAATTATTTTCGTTTATTTTCTTTTCTCTCCTTTTAACTCGCGAGAGTTTTAGAAAATCGACCTACCGGCACATGCAAAGCCTAACTCTCTGGAAAAACACCGGGAAAAATTCGGCGGCACTGTTACGTACATGGCTGGGCAGAGGTGTACAGCAAAGGGGCGAGTTGGGGGCGAGGGTTGTCGCGAAAATTAGTAATTGCAAGTGCAATTGTACGAGTGCGCTAGTGAAACTGCGAGTGGGTCGAGTATTTTTTCATTTAAGCCCAGCCCCGGGTGAGCTCGAATTTGCACACCATTTTCGCAAGTACTTTGGCAAAGCTGCGTAGCTTTTACTCAATCGTGCAATTATTTCGATGAACTTCCGACAATGCCGACGAAAAGCAACATTATCAAAGCTGACTGACTCGTAATTGGCAGCTATCGCTACTCTGAAAAAAAAAAAATCCATACTTCACAACGAGCGGAGATTTGTTTGCATTAATAAGATTGATTTATAATATGCCAAAGAAATGCATATTAAGAAGATTAAAAACAGAAATTATTAACCTTCTTAAATGTAGCCGAATTGTAAACTTGCGCTCCAAGTAGCGAAGTTAAAAAGAGGAATTTTATAGCGAACACAGCTGGAGTAAAAAAATGGAACTGAAAAATCCACTTTTGAATCTCAAATCGTAAGATACGTTTCGTTAGTTCTAAATTAAAAGAAGAAAAAAAAAGTTAGATTACACTATCGGTACGAGTTACGCAGCTTTCGCGCAATAGTTGCAAGTATGTATATGTAATAAGAGTGGTTTGCGACGAGGTCGGGCCAGACATCCTGAAACTTGTTTTTTCGAGTCTGGCTCGTACCCATCGCTACCTCACATATCGAGTACGATTTCACTTGTGAGAAGCTGAACATTAAGACACATCTATACAGAGAGATAGAGTTTCACTATTTCATTCACCTAACGAACAAACAGCGTTAATTAGAGTTTATGTATATAATTAATTAATAATTATTCATCCCAACAACAAGTAAGTTAATTATTTGATAGTACTCTCTCTCTTTCACCTCTTTCGTTTCCCTGTTCCCCTGGTTCCGATCGTGTCGCGTTCCCCACTCGTACTTTCTTCCGCTTCAATATATCTCTGTATATCACATATTATATGTATAGACTGATATCAACATGTAATATTGATTATTAGCTTTCGTGAAAATGACGGCTACGTGTGTGAACGCACTGTAGATCGATTGTTTCCCTTCCCACTTCCTTTCGTCGCTCCAACCAAAGCTCGCATCCCGAATCTCCGATTTTTCGACCCTCCAATTTCGGCGTATCTTTATTAATATCTCATTTAAATGACCATTCAACACCTCGGCGACGTCCTCTTTGAGAATCGCCGCCGAGAGCGCCACAAAAGCGCACTTAACGTTAATTCTATCACGCCTCGAGAAGATCCTTGCAGGCGCGTGTCACATTATTCATTTAAAATTATCCTTGGTCGAGCTTTCCTACATTATATCCGGATGCTTTATTTCCGACCCCGTCCTACCTTCTATATCCTAAACCTCTCCGAATCAGCCTTACGAGGAAAAACTTATAAACTCCATTAAAAAAGACATTGAAACTTTGACAATAGGTAGATTATACCTAAATAAGCAACGCATTATTTTTCTCTTAATTTCTAGGGGTATGTTTCACCTCTTAAAAATGATTTTCTGCAGAAAAACTGTATATCGCGATGCTTATCTGGATACGCTCTTCCTAACATCAAAAACTCGATATCCTTTTCAACTTAAGTTTGACATCTTTCCTTGTCAGACTTATCCAAAACCTGCGTTTCGCAACAATGCTGAACAAGTATCTACCCAATGCAAAAACGGAGGCTATATAACAACGTTATCATTAGGAAAGTAAATTGAGTGGAATGAATCCGTCTGTTCTCTTCATTATAGCAGTAGGGTTAACGTCATTGTTGTCTAACATTTATATCTGGAGCGAGTAATAATAAGACGTCATTAACAATTTTGAAAAGTCCAATTGTTTTACCGTTATATATAGGTTGTTCGAAGAACAAAGTTATAGACATTTGCATCGTCAAGCTATTACCCTTGTTATAAAAATGTAATGCAATACGTTATAATAACGTGATTAATTGTAAGTTCCTATATAATGAGAATTAAATTTCATTTTCGATTTCTTATACAGCCTCCATGTTTTTGTGTCAACCAGATGACGCACCTGAATGGACAACAGGATTCTAACGAGTTGGTTTATTCGGAGTAACCATGCATGCGGATGATCCAAAGATGACCGTAAAGATAGCCCAGAGTTAAACGAGTTAAATCGTCGGCAAGTCCGAGGACTGTCCGAAGGGCTAGAGCCGCCAAGAGTTTCGCCTTCACCTAATTGTACAAAGTTTCTTTCGCGTGACGCGAGAACGATATAGTCTGGCAGTATTCTCAGTAGTAAGTAGACGGTACGTCGAACGAAAGAAACGCGCCTAATTCGACCTATCTCGGACTAGTTTCGAACAATTTCCTGATTTTCCCTTCTTCCATGGATGCGCGTTGAAGTCAGATTTCCGCGACGAGGCCGAAGAAGGCGCGCAGAAATTAAAACCGCGATACATCATGGTTGTAAAAATGTCGCACGCAATGATGTGTGTCGCCACTTAGCACGATCGAATTCGGAGACGCTCTCCTCGATCCTTATTACATTTCCATACTCCTTCGCTTCCCCCTCGAGAACTTAAGTAGTACTCCGTAGAGAGTGTCCGCCATTGCCCCTCGCACCGTCGAGAGTTCCCACAGATTCGTTCGGTCGTCCTCCGGTTACTTATTATTTGGTACGATTAACGTCTAACCCGTAAAATCATCAATAAATAATAGGCTATCCTCGCTTGAGGCCGAGCGATCGTACGAGCGTGTCCGCATCTCGTTTCGTCCTTATCCGCACGCGAATTCCCTTCCTTGCATCTCCATGGATCCTTCCACTCGGAAAATGCCCGCCAGCTTGTCGCGCATTCCTTGAATCTTCGGTCGTTCGATTATCCTCTACCATTTTCTTCCTATATATTCCATCTAGCAGATTTTTCACGGCATTCGCTGGCGAGCATAAGAGATAGGATGTGTGGAGATCGACGAAACGGGGAACGTGTTTCCAGGCGAAGCCCGAAAAACCACACGTAGTCCGGCGAGTCCATCTTTGCGTAGGAACACCTCGGTAGAAAATGAAAAAAATCGTTTCCCAGGGAGGAACCTCTATCCCACGTCTTCGATTCTGCCGCTTTTTGCTCAGTCGGCGTTTTGATCAGTCGGTGCCGTTCCCTGGGTGGCGAAATCCTGCATCGTGAGTTCCTTTGATCTGGTTCGAAGGTCCTTCGCGTGCGAAGGTCGGTTTCCAGGTCGAATAGTTCTCCGTCTCTCCGCAGAGGGCGATAGCCTCGTCGATTTAGTTCCGAGCATCCTCTGCAAAGGGCCATCGGGTCCCTCGTTGCTTGTGGATGCGAAAGCGAAGCATTTCGGACAAACATCCTCGCCCTGTGTCGCCGCGACGTCGATCGGACAGCCTCAAGATATCCTAGATATAACCTAAATTCCCTGGTTAGTTTACAAGAGCCATTTGGCTATTAGAATCATGAGGAGGTGCGGCGCTAGCGTCGCGACGGTCGCGCCACCTGGAACTCGGACGTCGCTATCCGTCATGAAGACGGTGTCGATTACGTGGATTATGCCGTTGGTGCACTCCACGTCGGACCGGGAAACTCGGATCCTGATTTCTCGCCACTCCACGTAATAACCTGGAACGAAAAGGAAATGTAATTAGCACATGGTTATTAACTAAAAAAATTAAATAAAAGTGTAGGTATAGGTTATGCCTAGTTCGATCGACGACGAACACCTCGATCGTCTCGGATACCTGTCCCATTTTAATAATTACAGAAAAATATTTTAGACAAAATTCATATACTTTCCAGAGAGCTATATGTCTAATGTAATTTTAATTCCTCAGGCTCGTTAATTATTAAGCAAAATTCAAGGCTGATTATTCCGAACTCCAATGTTAAAATTGACTTCGAGCCTCGAGTACTCGGAGGGTGAATTAACTTCAGGATTATCAAGGATCCTTGTGCATTGCTAATACCTCTACCCGTTAATTACTGTGATTACCAACATTTAAACCTCGATCTTTGAAAGAATTATTTGCATTTTCAGTTCATTTTCGAGATAAATACGTGAGGCGGACGCACCGAAACTTCCGCGGAAAGGAAACTCGAAAAAGAAGTAGTTTTCTAATTAAGCTCCAATTTCTGGCTTTCTTAAGAAAAAAGAAAATGGTAAATAGATCCAACAACTTCACCCTAACATTTCGAGATACCTCGAGAAGTCGCTCAGTCACTGCAATTATTGCGTTAATGTACAAGCGTAACATCTCTGAGGTAGAATTTCTCCTCGCAAAAAAATACTGCAAACCCGATGCAATTAGCGGCTCGCACTATTTTCGTCTGCGTGCAGTTAAATAAACGTCACGTCTAACTCTGTGATCTGTGTGCACAATTTCGAAGAATGTCGACAGGCCTATTTTGCGAAGCAGACGATGTCGAGCAGATTGAGCGTTCCAGGCACAAAATAATGGCGAAGCTGTCTCCCAAAATGGCCAAAAATGGAGATTTGCATCGATCGTCGTTGGCGAAATATACGAGGAAAAAAAGCATATGACACGTATCCACGGTTCCTTGGCCAAGAGTACCAAATTTTCAGACATTTAAGGTTTTACAAAAGGGTCATTCTTTATATCAAAACGACAAAATATTGATAAAAGTTTCGGCACTTTCAAGACCTTCATCAGGACCTTCGTAATCACGTGTTAAAGTTTTGAATTATTCGGTGCGCCCAGTTTGGGGAAGAGTTTTATAGATACTTTGATTTTTTGGTATATGTATACGATACTTTCGTAACACCTTAAGATGACTAAAAAAATAAATTCGATATCCAAGCTTCATTCGCAAGCCGCGCTTATGCATGACGCGTGCCTTAACAAAGAGACTTTTCCTTCAACGTTTTAGGCCCAGAGTCGGATAAAAGTTCTCGGAGCCAGAATGTACGGAGGCAATAAGCACAGACGGAAAATTCGATGCTCCTCCACGGCGGCCAAACAATGCTTCCCCGGCAAACACTGTACAGATGGCTTTCTCGTGAAGAGGATGCAGCAAAGGAAATCCGGCAATTTTGAATCCCCGCACACGGTGCGAGCATGAAATATAAGAACCCCGCAGGATGAGTCGCAAGAGAGAAGCAAAGACGGACATAGGTAACCAGAGAAATAAATGAATAATGAAACAGAGGAAATACGGAGAACGCATGTCCTCTAAGCTCACGTCTAAGCTCGACTGGAAAGTGCGGGAATTATTTCCGGCCTCGCTGCGCACTCAACAAATTCTAATCGGGGAGAGAAAAATTCCAAATAATAATTGGAAAAAAAAAGGGGGGGAGAAATTGGAGGAAAAAGCGATATCCGAAGGGGGTGAGTGTGGATGACGAGGGAGAATAACTGCAGAGGGGGTAAAAAACCGAACCTCGACCTCTAAGCCCGAGCAGAAAGCGAGAATAGCGTGGGACACGCCTTTTGAATATTTATCGGCGCTTTGTTAAACTTTCCCGAGGTCGTTAGCCGGTGCCCTCGGAGTGGCTCTCGTATCGCGAAACATTTCCCCTCGCAATGGCTCGATTTTAGGGGAAAAAGTGGAGGGATATATCGACGCCGAATCGTCCGATAAACCGTGGGGGTCGCAAATCGGCGAGATTTTTCGACTTTCGAAATTAGCCCATGATTGTCCATTGACGAGGCGAGCTTTCTGAAGCGCTAGCGAAGGTGCTTTTAGAGGCGCCTCGCACGGAACGGAGCACGTAGCAATTAGCGCCAGGGGTAATCAAGGAATTTGCATTTAAATGGCGGTCGAAAGGTGCATAATAAATCGTCCGCGACGCGTATATATGGCGGGGGCTGTTCAGCCGGGAAAAGCTCGGAAAACAGTAATGCCTCGCCGATTGCGGGGACCGCCGCGAATGGCCAGAATTCCCTGCTTTGTGGCACGGATTGCGGGAATTCTCGCGTGTCCTCCGGAGCTTTAGACGTCCCTGTTCCTTTCCCGGAGGCTGTGGGCATTATGATCCCGGAGGATCGATCTCGAAGTGCTTTCCGAGATATCTATACGGCGAACGGCCCCGAAAAGCGAAGGACCAATGAACAATTTATAGAATAATGAAGCTCAACAGGGAACAGGTAAAGTTAGTATCATATATCTTATCGATGATATCAATATATCTCTGGTTTCCATTTCTGGAACGGTATTATGATCCTGTTGGAGAAACTTCGGGGTATCATTAATACGATCCCATAGGATCGATTTCGGAGGAGCTTTGCGAGATATCTATACGCTAAAGGGCGCCGAAAAGCGGAGGATAGGTGGACTCTTTATGGAATTAAGGAGCTCAGCAAAGGACAGACAAAATTAGAATGATATACCTTTGATTTCTTTATACGATATTAATATCTATACCTGACATCTTTGGTTTCCATGTGTGAAACCGTTCTACAATCCTGCTGGAGTAATTTCGGAGTAGCGTCACGTGTCATCACGTTACAACGGCGGTGTTAAAAGGAGGTCGATCGATCGAAACCGATATGATTGCCCGGCAAGGTAAAAGGCAGGAAAATACGAGTACCTTTTCGAGGAAAGTCGGGGCTTACGATCCTTTCGGATCTAGTGAGAAGTAGATACCCACCGCCACGTGACACCGTGTCACATAGGTGGCGTCAAAAGGAGGTCAATCGGTCGACAGGAAACCGACACGATCGCACACGACGGCGAAATCCAGGAAAACCTATTTTCAGACCCTTTTCCTAAACCTTTCCTCGAAGATCCTGCAGGATATTGCCCTTAGGATCGACTTAGGAGCGCCTCCACCACGTGGCGAAACGTTGTCCAGGCGGTGCCGAAAAGGGGTCGATCTAATAAGAGAGGATAGGTATAACACGTTCCGATAAAAGAGGGGAAAAAATATTTCCACCTTCTTTCCCGAAACTTGAGCTCGATACAGGAGCAGAGGATCGATTTCCAGCCATCGGCGCGTAATTGCGTGTCGATAAGCGGCTCCAAAAATGACTAATCCATTGTACTCGTACGACTATGAAGTACGGCAAAAAAGAGGTAAAATTAGTACCATGCATCTTTAATTCCTCTACATGTTTGAAATAAGTGCGTGATCGTGCTAGACCAATTTTTGAGTAGCGCCTCGTGACGCCGTGTCACATAGCCGGCGTCAAAAGAGAATCGATCGACTTAGGAGCGCCTCCACCGATTGGTGAACCGTGATCTAAGCAGAGAGAAGGGGTAACGCGTCCTGATAAAAGAGGGGAAGAAATATATCCGTCCTCTTTCCCGAAACCGGGGCTCGATACAGAAGCAGAGGATCGATTTTTAGCCATTGGCGCGTGATTCCACGTCGACGGGCGGTGCCGAAAAGCGGCGATCGATCGGGGGGACGACGCGGGGGGGCGAGGCATAAAAACCCCGAAATTTACGATCTCGCATAAACTCGCGGTTTATGGTCATTTAGCGAAGGCAGCTCTTTCGAGTAACATCCGACAACTGATTTATCGAAAGCCGCCCCCCTCGATTCCGGGCGATCGTCCGGCGCCGCGCGCCGATACGCTTCGGAAATCGATCGAACCCACCCCTCGATTGAACGGCTGGAATAGCGCCGCGACGTCGGGGGCGGATCGGCCCGGAGAAAGAAAATATTTGCATTCCCGGGAGCGAGCGAGCTCTCGCAATTTAACGCGGCGCAAGACAAAAGCGAGCGACAGACCGGAAGTCAGGAGGAAGCGTCTCATCGGCGCTGCTCGCGAGGGGATAAATTAGTTCCGCCCTTAATTGGCGTTGTTTGTTGCCAATGATCGAACCCGAGGAGACAAAGACGTTCGCGGCCTTTGGAGAAAGACCTCCTGGAGGGAGTCCTCGCCCCGAGCGACTCCAGAGGGAGGGAGCTATTCTCGAAGCCCTGTTTACTTTTTAGGGTTTCTTTCGGCCTGGGCAAATCATTGATTGCCGTCCATCTGGTAATTCAACTTCCGGGATTCTGGGGTGGAGGTCCTTGAGAGTCCATCTTAGAGACCTGGATGTCCTTTTCGAAGAGTGGGAGGTTCGACGGCAGGGAGGAATTCTTGAAAATTTATTTCAAGGTGGACCCGGATCGAGCCACCTTCCTGCGTTCTCCCGCCAGGTAGGGATTCTTGAAACTTACTCCAAGATGATCCAGAATCGACGCACCTTCCCCAGGTCGCGAAGAGGCGTTCCCGAGGGCCGACGTTAAGGCGCGGAGGTAAAGTGGAGCAAGGCGCCCAATTACTCTCCCTATGGGTATGTACCCATGGACGCACAGTGGAGCAAACGCATGGGTACATACCCGACATATATGCAGACACCCAAGCCACTGACACGAGTATCCGTAAACGCACACGTGGATGCACATCCATGAACCCGTACATGAGTCCACACCCGTGAACCCGTACATGGATACTCACACACGAACCTGTACATGGGTACACACCCGTGAATTTACACTCGGGTACATACCGATGAACACATAGGACACATAGGTGGGTACACGCGTCTTCAGCGAGTGCACGCCTCGTCGGCACGGAGGCTGCGGCTAATTGACAGCGAAGGCTTCTAGTTTATGCTTCTGGCGTGCATTAGGTGTCACTCGGTGGCAGCGGCGGTGATGGCGGGTGCGCAAAACGTCGGTGTGAATCGTGGTGCTCGCGTAAGGTGCAAAGCACCTGTCGCCCGCTCAGCGTTAAGACACATGGAAGCGCGGGAGAGGCACATACGAGAGCATAAACGAGACAGAAAGGGAGAGAGAGAGAGAGAGAAAAGAGAGAGGTCGCAAACTCACCAGCGGAGGTCGGAACGATCGCGTTTTCGTCGATCTTGTCGTCTGGGCGAGATTAGGGCGCAATGAGATAATGGACGCGGGAGGTGGGTGATTAGACAGAGGCAAAGAGAGAAACAGATCGATTAGTCCTGATCGAATCTCGCGACGGCGCTCGTCGCGGATCGACCACGTGGGAGCCGCGACTCGATCGATCGATCGGCGACGAGCGACCGGGAGCGAAGAGTCCTGGTGGTACTCACTGTCGTCCAGTTCTCTGACTCGCAGCTTCAGGTTGTCCCTGACGGACGTCAGGGCTACGGATCCGTTGTGGCTCATCGCCTTCAGCTGCGACATCTTGTACGCCTGGTCGGCTACGACAAGGTGACGCTCCAGGATCTGCTTCGACTGGAAAGAACGATTCGTGATCTCCGATTAGCGAAAAGGAGTTCCTGACGAGGCGGGTGGAAATTATTTCATTAATGCTCCTACGAACGCTCGAACTCACCTGGTATCTGTACTCGGGCATGAATATTTTCTTGTAGGTCGATGGGTAGCTGATCTTGGCCGCTTCCCACGCGTAGTTCCTGGGAGCGAAATAGGTGAACCGCTTCGTCGTGTCGTTCAGCTGGGCGTTGAATCCCTCTAGCGTGCCCAGGTAGTACGTGGAGCTGCAACAGGTAAGGACGTTTCTTATTAGATCGAGTCTAACGAGGGTTCGAGAAGATCTAGCAGCGATGGATTAAATCGCGTTTTCGGTCTGAGAATTTAATTTGGACCATTGGAAAAAAAAATAAAAATAAAACATAAGATCAGGAGGGCATTTAGGAATAATTTCTTCTCACATTTTGACGTCTATAAATTAGGTGGCTAGGGACGAAACAGCTGATCGGGGTGACGGACCAACGACGATGCAGACGCGTAGGACGACGTGATGGAACATCACCATACATCGATGTATTCCTATTTATAATCAAAGAAAATCTTTCACGACCAATTAATAAAATCTGTTCAAGATCCTGAGTAAGAGGGACAATTTGGAATATTTCCCACTGGATATTTGGCACCGTCAAACTCGGTGTTTAAAAAGCTCGGTGCAGCAGATCACCGTCGATGCAGGCGACGATGCAGACGCGTAGGACGGCGTGATGGAACACCGACGTCACCATCCATCCGGCGCATCGAGTAACGATACCGTGGGTATCGTATTAAAGGCCGGAGAGAGTCGGGGGTGGCTAATGGCATTAAAGCTAACGCCTAACGCCGCGTTTCCGCGTTCATCCCCCGACGCCGTGTCCGCGGCAGTAACGTATTACCTTCCGATAGCTCGCCAGATAGATACTTCTCCTAGATAACTTACTTGGTAACGATCATCTGCCGCTACGGATATATACCATTACCCCCGACATTGCCCACCGCCTCCGCCGATACATCGACGTGTCCCCGTTACCGTTTGCATTAGGCAAGCCTTCCTAATGAAACTCCAGCCCGGGCACAACCATTCGATCAGACTTCCCCCAATTACATGATTTGATCATTATCCAATCGCATTTCGGACGTCGGAAGTCCTGCTCGGCCATTGCCCCAAAGATTCGACTTCCTGGAGAAGTCACTTGGAAAATGATCTATCCTTACCGCGCAATTATCCCACCAGTTCATGGGAATCGTGACCTCTGAGGATGGAAAAAAAAAATTTAATATCAGATTGTTTAATCTTCAGGAATGTTTGAGAATACCCTAGAGGGTCTGCTGGTTCGAGCCTTCTACGAGTTTGGTATAATTACCTTCACGATATGGATAAGATGGATTTAGGTAACGAGAAGGTAGCGACACTCGGATTTCTCGGCGAATTATAAGATCATGAACTTTGTAAGAAATATTGAATTTTTAGGGGGATGTTTGTCGAGCAAGTGGAGGTCTAAAGGGAGCCTGCAGACGTAGCGCGGATTTCCTGGGGAAGTTACGGAAATTTCTGCCGGATAATGGGAGCAATCAGGTGCTCTCCTTTTTTTCCGGTCGGGTTTAAGGACAGCCGGTAAAACTGAACAGGACAATATCAAGGCGTACGCGGAACGGAGTTAATAGGTCCTGGGCTTCTGCAGAGTGCGAGCTCCGAGGCGGGGTCAGAAGGACCGAGCAATTTCCGGTAAGACCTGGTTATAGTTTTTGCGCCCGCGCGAGTGCACTTCCACGGTAATTGGAACGAGAGCATGTCGCGCCGTTTCAGAGAAATCCTGAAGAGAGCCACCGCTGCCTCTGGGCGTTATCCTTTGCCGAGAAATGCTTCCCATTTTGGCGACCATCGCTTATGAACGCTTTTAATATAAGGGTCCTTTTTACAAATGTTCAGGGACGAGTCGTAAGGACAAGTGCAGGGAGTACCCGAGGTGCACTCACTTCAGGGAAGGGTCTGTCCTGAGCTTGTCCAGGACGGTGATGTAGGGCACTCCAAAGACCCTGTCGATGATGTGGATGACTCCATTCGTCGCCGCGATGTTGGGGGTGACGACCGTCGCGTTTACTCCTCCACCCTCCACGGTTAATGTCTGGTTCCCGGTAGGTCCTTGCACCACGTTAAAGTACAGACTCTTCTTCTCGGCAGCGGTTGGCACCTGCAAAAGCAAATCAGTTAGACCAAGCCCAAAATATTGGCGCAAAAATTACCATAATTTCATCGGGCTCGTAAGCATCTACAGAATCTACAGAAAAGGAACCAGCACACGCGAAAAGCGAGTAACGGGTAAGCAGGATAAATTGGCGGAAATAAGGAGAGTAAGGTAATAATTGCGCAAGGGTCGTCCGGCAGCCGGGCGAGATATTTTTTAAGTCTAGGTGACCGATTGGTATTTTTATTAGAAGCGAGTAGGTACCAATTTTCTTTTCTTTTTTTTTTTTCTATTCCGGCGAAATGCAGGGACCAATGCTGGAATATTTAACATTTTTCCTCGCTTTCTTTGACATGCACTTGCTGGAGTACTGGCCGGGTTTTTTCACGTGCAAACGCGTGCAAATTGCGTATGGTCCAGCGCGATGGGCTCCGCTTTTCCAAGCGCAGATCTCATTGAGTGATCCTCGTGAATTACTCGCCATGCACTCAGTCGCTTCCGGTTACTCTTATGACGGAACGAGAGAGTATGGAGAGAGTGCAGAGAGTACTGCGCTCTTGACTTGGCCATTCAATAACGTCCATTTCGGTCTCCCTCTAATTTCCTCTCATCCCATGTATTATGGTCTTTCTCACAAGTGCTTTCGCGAATTCTCCCGCTTTTTGACAATCTTTTTTAATTTTTTTTTTTAATTTTTTTACCCAGATGAGGGAATTATTTATCAAGCCTCTCACTTTTAATTTCTCAAAGAATACAAGTACTTATGAGAAGAAAAAAAAAAAGAAAAAATAGAAACACGTTTTGTAGCCTTTATGACGATGTTCTTCCACGTTCTGGATACCGATTGAAATGTCTATTAATGTTAACATCTGGTTAGACATTTTTGGTAAATCTGATCGACCGAATTGGCAATTTTCCGCGCCATTGCGGCAAGAATAATCGCAGTACTATCGCCGTAATTTCGCGAAATCTCTGATATTACTAATTGCGATTTCAATAACCACGACTCCGTTGCCCTGATGCAATTGCGTCGATATGGAATTCTGGCTTTGATTACCTCGCGTGCCTACCTCAATAATGTACGCCGATGAATCGAGGAATGATTAAATCAAGTTTTGGTGCATCGGGTCTTGTCGAGATTGCGCCGAGGCTCTTTAAAAAAGTAGCTGTGCAAGGTCCGAAAATATCGCCGAAATCGCTCCATCGACCGAGTACATTACTTTTCAAGGTTCCAAGATTAATCCAACAAATTATCATTTAATTTCACCTTTATGTCATTGCTTTAAATTCTGTCCTAAGAGAATTTAGCTCTTCGGTGCAAATAAAAAGAATCATTGGTTATTAAAATTTCTAGTTACCACGAAAAAGGCCAAAACGGGGATAAAAATGAATGGAAAAATAAAAATCTTGCTACTTCGCTCGGTCCACCTATTGTGAAACTGCACTTTGTAGCAGTTGCATAAATTAATTAACGGCATGGATTATCATAAAAGCCCGACAGGTGCGCTAATGCCGATTTGCTAATTGCCAAGCGTTACGAGCGGTTCGCAAGCATTACGTGCATGCATTTCGCCGAGTCAATGCACCTATCTAGGATAATATTGACTTTTGTCGTACGAAGAGAAGGAGGTGGGATATTAATTATTGCAAACAAAGCCCAAAATGTTCTAATCGGGAGTAAAGGAATTCCGAGCGCGCTTTTGAAATTCTGTGATATCGCAAATGTTATTTTCGACATCTAAGTGTTTTTTTTTTATTGAGTATCCTTCTTTAATCTAATTTTTAATATTAAATAGTGCCATTGCGATGTTCAAAGATTTTCAATTAATTCTATTTTGTGTTCTTCAGATAGCATAAGAATATCGTAGATGACTTTAGTTGTGGATAGTGTCATGTTTTATTTTTTAATTCTTATTCTTCCGCGAAGGAATTCTTCTGACGGCTTAAACGACTCGTTAGATGTACGCCGCGAGTAATTTCGCGTGCGTGTCTAACCATACACGAAACGCGTGTTTCAGACATACCGTACGAGCGATTAATTACTGTCACAAGTGGCTGCGCGTACTTGCCCCGTCGAGCCTGTTAATTTACCATGAAATCATTCGACGGAGAAGCCTCGAAGGAGTCTTTCGGCTTCGAATGCCCGTGAATTTCAGAGAAATCTTTTTACGAGGAGATTCTACGCGAAAAACCTGCCGGGATCATGCACCACCTTTAGGTCATACTTTTGCATAATTTAGAAGGGGATGCGAAATTAATCAAGTCAAAGGCACTGCAATAAGCCATACAAACCAATTATTACTATATTGCAAGAGAAACAATAGAAGCTGAGGACGTTCGTTTTTTGCGGAATTTCCGGGTTGATAACATTGATAATTTGAAATAAGCGACAATTGCATTTGTTAATCACCTCGAAAAGGCTGCTTCCCAGGGTAGGATTCTTGAAAGAATAGAAAGAAAAGAGAAATAACGAGTGATTTAGAGTCTTGCTTGGATATCGAGAGTTGATTAGAAAATTATGTGGTTTTTCCTGCGACGACAGAAATGTAAAATAAATTACGAGACTTCTTTTTCTGGGGCAAAAGTATTTCAGAAGAATTGGTTGATATGTTTTACAGGTATGTACGATCTAGTGCTAGCTGTACATTACTCTTAGCGAGGACGTCTGGTAAAGTGTATCGAAGGTGCTTGAAAAGGGGAAGAATTTTTCATACCAAAGGACAGCTTGCATATGCACGTGGTACGGGTATGCCTTATTAATTTATATATTTCGGTTATCCAGGTGAGTCTAGCAGGGCTATTCGATCAGGTGATTTTTGTTCTTTAACAGGTAATCTACTCACTTGATTAACACCCCTGTTGAGGATCTTCTCCAAGGGAAGGGTCTCCTGGACATAGTGAAGCTTCAGGATGTTCATCAGCCTCTCCTTGTCCTGGAGCACGTGACTGATTTTCGCCTCGTCCCAGGCCGCGTTGTTGGGGGCGAAAAGAGTCACCTGGGGCAGCTTCGTCAGGGTGTTCATGAAGTCTTCGGCATGGTCGAGGACCGCCTTGTAGAACTTGTACACAGGACCATCCTCCTTTTCCTACAGGACGAAAGTTCCTTCATCATCACCAGATCCTTCGATCGTACAGACAACTACTAGGATCTCAAAAAACAGTGACAATTAAAGTAACCAGATGAGACGAACGAAGAGAGAACAGGAAATAAAACGCGAAGAGACACCGAGGCCAGAACGAAAGATCGAGGAAAAAGGAAGGAAGGAGAAGTGGAAGATGGAGAAACGGAAAGGATGGTCAGGCTCCTGGGATTTCCTTTATGGCTACGAATCCTACGAGGCTCTTAAAAACGGAGCATAAAGGACGTTTCATTCTTTTTCCCTTTTTTTTTTTTTTCGAAAATGGGAGGTAATCAAAAGAGAGGGGAAAACATTGAAAAATGGAAAATGCGGAGCCAAAGGAAGGTTAGGGGCCCTTTCAGGCATTGCTGGGTTTGTATACAAATTTGGAGCACACAGAGATAAATCTGAAAAAAGGCAAAATAGAGGCGCTGGAAAATCCAATATGTGTATATATATGTACATATTTATATATGTATATATATGCAGAACTGGTTACTTTTACGAAATTCCCCGTACCATGTTCATGCGACCCTTTTACCTTTTATCTTTTTTTAGGAATTGAAAACCAGGGAAAAGGGCGATAAGAAACGTAAGCACACATATGCATAGTCCCAACAGAGACGCTCGTCGTTCCAGGCCCGAAACCCAGATAATTTGTACGTACACAACAATTATCAAATTTTGCATAATCAGAATTTAAGGGAAGAAGACACTGAGACAGGCAGGAAAGATATTGAGGCATACAGATATGGGATAAAAACACTGACACCAAGAATAATCGACACTCATTTTTGAGGGAAATTCGCTCGATAATCACGGACTTAACGGGAACCACGTAAACAGGTTATTAATTCAGCAAAATAAATCGCACAATCCGACGTAAATAGCTTAGCCACGTTCCGGCGATTGGCATCGTTTATTTAGCGAGCCCGAAAGCAGGTGCATCGATAGATACGAGTTTCGATGCACCTCTTACACGATAAAATTTATCTGCATAGCTGACAGACAAGCAAAATAGGAAATATCTTATTTCTCGGCCAAACTTGATAATAAAATTAGCTTCGAGAATTAATAATGCAGAAATATGTCCATATGTAGGGACGATCGACGAGCGTCTCGGAGGCATGGGCTCGATCGAGTAATGGGAAATTATTTTGAGGAAAAATTTGGAGTGGGATTTCTGTCAAGATTTCCTTTAATTGGTAATTCCCCTCTATTGATTAGGCTTTACCGCGATCTAGATTAACGAGAGAAACGTTCCGAGATAGACACCAAGAAAGGAGAAAATTATCGAAGATTTTCTCTCGTCGTATCTTGGACTTCGATTTTCCTCGCGGTCTATCGCCCTCTTTCCCTCGTTCCTCTTCCTTCCCTTGGGAGGAGGACTCTCGTTAATCTTTACCGCAGTTCGAGGGCAACGCGGGAACAGGAAGCCAGGAAGTGAGAGAGCGGAAGATTAATCGGTGGCCAGGAGGAGGAAACCCGCGAAAAGAGGACGGGGCGAAAGGGGTAGGATGAAACCGACGCTGGTAGGCGTAATCGGGAAAACGGAGAACTTGGAGAACTCGAGGCAGAAGGACGGATAAAGAGGGGGAGAGAACCAAGGGGGACCAGCTATTTTTATGGCCTATTATTATATTGGGTTTTATTTAAAGGATGAATTCTTGTACGAGGCTATCTTCTGTCGGGGCGATTTTCAAATATTACGTACCATCGCTTTGATAAGCGCCTTTGTGATAACGAACGTCTCTCCTCCGATCATTATTTCATATTTTTATATGTACACGTATGATATGCCTCGCCATAATTTCGTATAAAATGCCTTTTGATCAATTTTAGTATCGTTGTTGGGACCGTCCTGTATTTTCTTCGGGTGCAGCGCCACTTGTTATCGGTATGACAAGCCCTATCACAATGTAAGGCAATACGCCGTACATTGCGGGGCAGTTTGTCACGGAGAATGTTAACGCGCAGGAAGTGATTCTTTAACGGGGAGGAACGATCAATTTCTGTAAACTAGAAGCCCCCGAGTATGGCTGCAACCCACTCCTCTACAAGATCGCACGAAGTACAACGAATGGCCGTGCGAGAAGGCAGGCGTGATAAAGTATGCACGCGACATTTAAGAGGTGTATCGATGTCCCTTGCGCCGTGTCGCGCCGACAGAAGTGCCTCGTACGTTAACACACATATATTTACGAAATCTATGTAAAGATATTACCACTACCACTAATTCCTAGTACTGTGACAGAAACTAAAACATCGAGTAGTATACTTTGACCCTCAGGACGACGAGGTACCCGAAGACAGCTGAAATGGACCACCGCGAGCAGGAGATCGACGTAAAGAACCTCCATAATGAATAATACACGGTATTAAAAAATCCGAAAAAAATAAATAGAAAGACGAAACAGCCCCAAGAAATACCATCTGTTCGCGAGATATTCCGTCGTATATGTATATATCTTTATTGAGATATGAATTTTTAAATTCCCTTTTCGCGCCATTTTGGGACGCCTTTGACTGCCATTTTCCCGGAGTCCCGGATATTGGAGCGCGGCGAATGGAATCACTTCGATTCCCTGGTCTCGGGGGCCCATTCGACGCTCTTCATCTTTGCTCGAGAATTAAATCGGAAAGACACCCGAGGTGTCGGGGAAGGATCGGCTTTGGAAGAGGTCAGACGCCGGGCGAGGTCCTCGCCCGGAGTCCTCCCGACAGCCATGCGACTTCGGAACGAAGACTCCTGGCCGTGGCCAGGACTCTATTTCGACGAACCGGAGCCTTCCTTTCTTTATTTCCCGACCTGTGCCCGGAAGTAATTTAGACTTAGCCCACGTTGCGACGGAAACGAGGCGAGGATCAAATTGGTTTCCCCGGAAATCCTGCGTCCCGTTTCTGATATGTCGTCGATTAACTTTCGCCTCGTATTCGTAAGCATCGGACCGTCTTTCACCTCTACGTTTTCCACCAGCCAATAAAACAAATTAACATTTTTCAACGGTTAAAAGTTTCATCTACGGAAGAGTTAATCCATGAAATCCCAAGTCGCGTTTCATGGCCACTCCATAATCCCGGTAAAGAATTTTCAGTAAAATAATTCCAGGGATGAGTTTCGGAGAGATTTTGGCAACTTTGATTTTTCTCATTTCTTTTTTAAGGTCTTCTTTGGTTTATTGTAAGTGATCCGTGGGATTGGAAGAGGATCCGAAGTCTGCACGAATACGGCTCGAAGCAATCAGCTGTTGAGATCGATCCGCATCGATCTCGATCGCGATCGAGAGAGTCTGAGTGTCGTGTGTTCGGAGTCTCTGATGAGTTCGTTATAAGTACTTACGATGCCCTATACGACATGCAGAGTCCAATAGAGACATGCAAAGCACCACAGAATAACATCATTGAGTCAATAAAGGTATATAGTAAAGACATGTACACAGTTAGAAAAATCGACACCTCGTTTTAATGTACAGAGAAGAGTGCCGGAGAGGGTGGGCTTATTTAATTCAATTCCCGGAAAATTTCGCCCTCGTTGCGACCGAACTGCGGAATTATTTTTTCTCCGTTGTCGATTATATATATATAAGTACATATATACAATTAAAAAGGACGTGAATTGTAGGCGGAATCGAGTCCTACAATTAGGGCGTACACCAGTGTCGTCCAGGACCGCCATTTCCGAAATCGATTAAACGCCGATTTGCGCTTAAATGGATGTCTTATCGTCGATTCGGACAATAACATTGTTACTCATACATGGACACCAGAAGTAAAGGAGAGAGAAAGGTAAGTAGTTGTGTAACCCATCGAAGTCCATAAAAGTACGTACCAGTGTACGGTGATTGAGTCCTGCTAATTGAGAATAAATCGATCATTTAAGTATAGGACTCTCAGAAGTGTCGGACAGATCATACAGTAATGGCGGATGATGCGCTTATCGAGATCATGATAATAGAAGGAGGTGAATTTCGATGAAATGAGAAACACGTTTTCGTTAACGACGACCAGTAAGAGGCAAGATTTAATAATTCATCTCAGTGCTGAAATTAATTATGTTCAAGAGTTAATTGAATAAAGGTGTAATATTCTGTAAATCGCAGTACGCGTTCAAGTACTACCGCAATTTATTCCAAGATATGGTGTAATCATTTTCAAACTTAACTGTCCATAATTACTATTTAAAGAAGGTGAATTCAATTATTAACGTCCACATTTCTAACTCTTCTCATTTAATTTGCACTTTGCCTTAAGTGAGTCGAATTCGCGGAAATTCATAAATAAACAATTAGCTCAAAATGTCGGGCTTAATTTTCCACAGAATAATAGAAGGTAATTATAATAGAGCAATTAACGAACTTCAAAAATAAAAAGATTAAGCCGGCTTTCTGAAAGGTATAAAAATTCTTGGGACCCTGTGCGCGGGTTCTAAAATTTGGTATGATACTTTTAGATCATCGTTGGGTGTTATTGTCGAATAAACGAGAGATTAATGACTCCGTAGCTTCGGTTCACTGTCATCACGTCTGAAGTATTAATTCGCGGTTCACGTACAACACTGGTGTACGTATATAAACGAGTATTAGATTTCTGGTGGGCTCGTATAAATTTTTTATGGGGCTGTAAAAGTTGGGAAGCGTAATTTTTCTTTTTGTTGCAATATTGCAAGTCAATCTCACGGGCCAAAAAGAATCGACGCAGGAGCGCGATTTCCCCGTCCGCCGCCATAACCTATAAAGCGCGTCATGCGGTTCCCAATTAATTACGTCGAGTTTTTATTCGATGGCGAGCGCCGCCGCGAGAAACCCCGCTAAAATATCACGGATAATTTCGAATAATAGGAAATTTCGATGAATTTCGCCAAACGGCGCGCCGGGGTCCCCGGTATAAAGAGGGAATAATTATTTTCGTTCTTTCGCGCCGGACGACCGAACGTCCGTGCGCCATATTGCACGATTCGGGGAGGCCCG